ARARAAAAAAAACATAACAAAACCCAAACCAAAAAGCAATGTGCAAGTGTGAAACTCAGAAGACGATAGCAGGGATCAATCCAGACCTCGGTTCAGGCTGAAACACAGAACCCAAACTGCATTATGGAAAAACAGTTCCCACTGCAAACCTCATCTCCAGCTGAGGAGGGTGCTTGTGTATCTGTTTAAAAACACGCCTGCCTCACCCAGGACAGCCTGGGCAGCAGCYCCAGGGTTCCAAAGCCCTGTCTGGGAGGGACAGAGCCACTGGCATTGACTCAYCACAGCCCCACGGTGCTCCAGGGGCTGTCACAGCAGTGGCACTGCTGCAGCAACAAGAGTTCTCAGCTTGGCTTCTGAAAGGACRCAGAAATGTTGGCTCTCTGAGTATCCTCCAAAGGTGCTAGAGGTTTTAAGTTTGAAGCATTTCTTCCCACAATGCCAGGTATACAAATGTGTATTCTTTTTTAAATAATATTGCACATAAAAATCATCTTAAAATCTGTAGTGAAAGCAGGGTTGAAGGACAGTGTTTTCCAAAAGAGAATAAAAAGCTACCTGTACATAGTAAGTTTTAATTTAAAGAACGCCAAGATTATTTAAAATCTAAGCACATAATACTGACAGAAAAATGTTAAATTGCACAATCTACATATAAATTAATTTGTAAATACTTAAAAAGTTTTTAAACATTGAATACCCTTGATTTCACAAATCAGCTAGGTCACTGTCAAAGGATCAACTTAATGGGTTAGAAGTACTTTCCCCCAGAAAAAAAAAAACAGAAACAAAAAGATTTGCAGTCTCAGATGAAGCACTGGAAAGAGTTAAAGCATTTCAGCTCAGAGGTAGTGCTAAACACATCCAACTAGAAGTCCATTATATTTGAACTATGATGAAGTAACGTAGTAAAATGTAGAAAGACTATAAAATTTACAAAAATAAATAGTTCTGAATGCTTTAGAAAATGCAAGAGACTTTGTTGGTAAGTGTCTTGATCTGCTTTTCTGACCAAAAGAAAGCAAAGCGTGTCTCATTTTCAAAATATACCCATCTCTAGTAACATGTCTGCAATCCACACAATCTAACTCTGCMACTTGACAGATGCCAGCTTGGCATAGACTCTGATATTAAAAATAAAGTGGAGGCTTTGTAAAAGATCACCTCATATGAAATTTGCTTTGCATGTAAATTCTTCTGTCAAATTAAAAATTGCACATAAAAAASTTTATTGAAAGAGGCGTGAGGGGTGATGAGGGTATGCGCCCATTGTTCCACATACACCCTGGAAGGAAAATGATGATTGCACAGTTCTGATAAATAAATTTTAAAAAAAGAAAATCTGCCACTTTTTTGGTTTGTAAGTTTTGGAATTATTTAGAAAAACCTACTATGGACAAATAATTATTTAGTTTGCTTTTCAAAGAACTCTTTACAGCTTTTCCAGTGGCTTTTATCCTGAAACCAAATGAAAGTGGCAGTTTAAAAGTATCTTTGGGTAAAACAAGTATCAGGATCCRACGAGAATTTCCATGATGTGGTCCAACTCACTCAGATCTGTTCTACATATCTGAATGTTGTTCGCTGAAGAAGAATTACAAGATGGAAAGGTTTTCAATGGTTCTTCTGCAGCAAGAGATGGTGATCTGGGTGGCATTAGTGGAGGGCAACAGAAGTCTGAATCATACATTGAAGTGTCAATATCTTCAAAAATGTCATCTATTGCCAAATCCTTCAAGTAACTAGTTGAATTCGAAATCTCAAAGGAACCAAACACACAYTCAGCCCCCTTCAAATCCTGTCTATCATCTTCTAGTTTCAGACCGGTATTTTCTGGAAACTTTGGCTGGTCATCTCCAGTAGGAACCAGACAAGTAGGTGGGCTTATATCTTCTACAAAGTCCAAATCCTTCAGAATAGATGAAATAGCAGATGACATGTCATCGTCTGAAACGATCAGCAGGCTGTTTTCAATCGGGTCTTCTACAGACCGCAGGTCACAACAGTGAGACTCTTGCTGACTGATACCTGAAGGCAACTGAAGAGAGATGCCAGGAGACTCCATCCCTGTGTAGCTGTGAGAAGCAGGAGCGATGCCAGGGCAGATATTCACTGGCTGCTGGTTACTCTCCTGTCTCATCTCCTCCTGAATCTGCCGCACGGTGTTGGCGATGAGGACGGAGCGGTGCAGGTTGGGCTCCACCAGCATTTTGTACGTCTGTAACTTGGTGAGGCACATGTTGAGCACCAGCTGCCTCTTGAGTGGGTATGGCAGACTTCGACTGGAATCAAAGGCACTCGAGAGACCAGCCATGTTCTCCTCATAGTCACTCAGCTTGCGCTTTAGACCTCTCCCCAACATGAACCTGGAAGGCAGAAATTATCAATTAGCCTTGGGCAGGTGCAACACACAATGCTGAAAACCCTGTAGTGTACAATGCATTGGCTAACTTAGACTTCTGATGTCCTAGAACATCAAGAGACAGAATGAAATCTTACACAGTAATACTTCCATTGAAAAGATGCACTTCCATTGAAAAGCTATATTGTTTCACAGAAACTTTTTTTTTTTTTAGACAGAAACTGTGGAAGAGCTATACTAACTCTTTTTTTAAAAAACCTGTATACTTCTAAGTATATCTGACTGTCCACATGAAATAAAATAGGTGCTTACATTAAGGATCAAACAACTACAGTGAATATTTCACCATTTCYATTTTAACATTCTTAGGTACAGCAGGTAAGATTTCAAAGATAGTTTTCAACACCCATTTTGATCTCATTAAGGCATTCTAATGTCTGGCTCMGTGTCTCTGAGAACTCTCTTTAGGACTCATTTTTCTCCTTTTTATTCAGTGACCCAGAATTGTTTTACAGCAAGACCCACAGCAGGGCCTCCCATGGGACCCTATATCCATCCCATAGCTTGGTAGTTTGGTTAAACAGTGGGAGGAAATCTGGTTTGGGCCACTGAGCTCACAAAGACACARTCAATGCTCATGGCTGCTGGTTCACAATCTGCCACTGACTTCAGACTAAGAACATCAGGCAAGCTATAAAATGGCCTTTTTAAAGTGACCAATTTTGGTAAATATTTAGAAGGAAAAAAAAAGAGTTTAGTTGCTTTCAGTCTGCCTAATGTGCTCTTGCATTGAAATACAGCAGGTCTAGAACAATGTGGTACAAAAACCTGTGCGCATACACATCTAAAACATAAATGATCCAAACAAATACTGCTTGGGCACTTTGCAATTACCATCCCAAATCTAAAGTGTTTTATTAGGGACAACAAGCCCTATGCAATCACTTGTATAAACACAGAAAAGGGGTATACTGTGCACAGAAAACACTGGTAAAATCTCAGTTACACTCATTTTAAAGTGCCCGTGAATCCAGATATCTTGCTCCCAAACAATTAAAAAAAATTAAGCAATCATAAATTAGACACCCCGTGGCAGATTAAGGACAGATCYTTCACGCACAATGATCCAGACCCTGCATGCTGCCGAGGGCCTCCCAACTTCCTTTTCATGTGAGCACTGGATACTGCCAGCAATAGCTCAGCTGATGGCTGCAGCTGCCAGCTGCTAGCCTGTTGCTAGACTTTTGGGGACAAGGAGAAGGCAGCAGGATAAAGCCTCTTTTACTKTCAGGATTTCTCCAGATTTGCAGGAAGCATGGCAGGGCTCCATRGCTACATCCATCTGCCCTGACAAGGCTGTTAGAGAACTCAGCTCCTCTGGAGAAACAGAAAGCAAGCAAGCACTGCATCCTCAGTAAGACACACAAGAGAAAACAGACAGCTGCTGCAGGAGTTTAGGTGTCAGACTTCTCAACTGTACACTTTTTACTTATCAGGGAGTAGTCTGGCCTATCTTCAGTTTGCCAATAAGTCCCTCTTGAAACAACAACAAACTTTAATTACTTGCAATTGTACCAGTGTGGCAATTATTTACTTCTGGAACTCTCTTTTCCTCTGAAGTTTTCTGCTGTACTGCCAGAGCACCAGCTGAATCTTTAAAAATGAGAAGGTGTCTGGATGTGGTCTGCCTGTTCACCTGGGTYATCTTCCCACACTGATCATGTATCRCTCCCTCACTCCAGCACCCTATTAAGAGCAAACAGACCCAGCCAGTACCGAGCACTCCAACAAAATCAGGACAAATCTGGACACAAAGCTCAGGCACAAAATATAATAACAAAGTATTCTGGGGAGGCAGTGTGTGGGTCAGGCACCTCAGCCAAACTACTGACAATACTGTCAGTAACTGATAATTTTTGTCACAACCTATGGAGAATTGCAGGACAAGTAGACTGTTGCTAAATATACCCACTCTCATCATGAAGACAATTGGTATCTGCAAATCATAARAAACTCACAATAAAATTGCTAACTCTCCATTTTAAGTAGTGTGTATATTGTATACGACTTAAGGCATCACCTCACAGCATCACTATAAGAACAAAAGTTATGCATCAGAATGGCTGTTTCTTCACCAAACACCATCATTCCCATACACTGCACATWAGTGGGGTTTGTWTGTTTTGGGGTTTGTTTTTTTTTTCCTCTCAATTAATTACACACACCAAAATTTAYACCTATAAGGGAATGAAGTTATGACCATACCAGAGAAAGTAATTGTGACATTTCCTACATTCAGAATGCTTGGTTTTGATAATTTACTGCTTTTAACATTTTTTTAAAATATACATTTACACTTTGTTACACACACAGGACATACTATTCCTATCTCTTTAAATTATATAAATCACATTAATTCCTAACATCTCAAGAATATGCTAGTATATAATTCTGCAAATAAGCTCAAAGAGCAAGCAGACTATGACATGCAAGGATGTATAATTTCACAAAAACAACTTAAAATGACATGTTTTACTTTTCAATTCAAACAGTAGTCTAGTTAGACTAAGTATTTCATGCTCATATAGGCAGACACCCTTCTTTTCATTCCTCAAATTTCCTTMATAAAATTTGTCCCAGAGCATTTTAGAAATATGTAAAAATGCTCAAGCATGACAACACTTGACTATAAAAATGAAGTACAAGAAACACTATTTGCTCCAGCTTCAAAATATTTCTACTTAACGTACTCCCCACTCTCAAGATGTTTTTTTTTTTTAAATACACAAACACAATACTACCTTACATTTTAGAAATTCTGTCTGTTTAACACTGATTTTTTTCCTAACAGGAAGGATCCCTAACTCTCCCTCTAGGAGCCAGACAACTTCAGAGGTTACACAAAAATTTGGAAAAGGCTAATAAAAAACAGAGWACCATTGGTACAGTGGATTTAAAAATGACTAGTGTCATGGTTGCTACAGGAGACATTAAATTTCAGTTCTTGTCAAACACACTCAGCTGCTGACCTACAAAAGACACAAAGCCCCTTTGTTACCAGCTAATCTACATTTTATCAGGCCTTTTGCTTTACTTTCTAACACAAGAATTTCTGACGGGATCAGATCCTTAACAAACTACCCTGTATTTTCTAAGTAGCTTGTTCTTCTGTAGCGCTGCTTATTGCCCTCTCACTCAAACCCAAAATTCACTCTCTCAAAAGAGAGTCAGATGCTCGCTTTTACAGCATTACTTTGCAGCAGAAGATGCTGATGGCATTATTTAATTATGCAATGCTTACCCCACTTCAATTTTTGGTAGTAGGGCAAACAAGCAGCCGTGCACACACAAACCCCAGTGSCTGCTGCTCAGTGTCAGCCCTTCCATCAGCTCACACCGGGGCACAGCCAGCTCAGGGCACAACCTGGGCACCCCAAAGCAATGAGTGTCCAGAAACTGCACTTTCCTTCACATCAGCCTAATTCCAGGAACCAACTCAGATCTCAAAAAAAATGGATCAAGAGACAGGATTTTGGGAAGTGCCAATCTGATAATTCTGTAATTTGCAAGTAAATAAACTGAACAAAAATTAAAGTTTATGCCAACTTCAAATGTGAGGTCCATACATATCTGTTCAATTATAAAAGCAGCAAGCYCTGTCACCCTTTTCTCAAACTTGAAAAAGTTTCACAACAAATTTTTTTTTCTGTTCAGATGATCTATTTTAGAGTCCTCTGTCATGAAAAAAAGGAACAATGAGGAACAACACATCTCAACTTTTTTTTTCTGGCACTTTCTCAACCTCTCTCACTAAAGTAACACAAACTGAGCCACAGGCTGTTTATGGCAGAACGCTTTTTTAATTAAAGTAATTCTTCAGATATAGAGAAAAGAAAGSAAAGTGAACTCAGTATCTGGGAGTACCAAGCTCTGTTCACATCACTGCAATGGAGTCTACACAGAAATTCTGCTCTGACAGCATGTTCCTGAGTTCCTTCCAGTCCTCCTTCCATGGAGGACATTTCACAGCAACTCCTCCCTGCTAACATGGGAAGAAGCATCCAAGCACTGTAATCCTACACCATACCAGGGTTTGAAAAAACTTGGGAGGGAAGAGGCACGTCCCTGGTTGGCAAATCCACACAATACCAAACAAACAGGCCTGGTCAGGGTGCAGCTACTCAGAAGAAACATTCCARGCTACCAAGAAAAATTCACATTGCGACGTGTTGTGGACAATACAGCGCCCATGCCACCATTTCAGCTCCATCTGTCACCGTGCAGCTGCCACTGACACATGGCTGGGAAGTACAGCTGGGAACACTCTCAAGGAATAATGMAACATGTAAAAACCTTCAATTACTTCTATCTGAGCAAACTAGTACTTAAAAACTTTTTTGGAAGATGAGAGAAAAGAACTAAAGAGCAAAGTTAAACATTTAGAACTCAGAACCTCACAGAACTTTAATTTTCAGCAGAGAAGAGCTTTGTGAGTTATCAAACACAACTGCCACAGTTAATATTGTCGAAACACAAACTTTTCATGCACAAAACAAGCATGGAGTCAACTACACAACACTTATTTATTTACCATTAGATATGTTTAAATAGCAAGACCATCAATAAAGTACCTGGCCTTCACCATGCAGGTAAAAATAATTTAATTCATAGTGGTTCCTTCTGGCTTTTCCTCTTAGAGTATTATTACATTCAGACTTGCTTGACCCTTTCTATACAGCCACACTGTTGCATTTTTCAGCCCAAGACTGTCTCAAAGTGAAATATTACTTTTTCTTACAGGACAAAAATACCAGCTTTGCAGACGTGTAAGCACCTCATGAGTGAAAGCTGCCTGTCCCGTTTTCAGTAACATGCAACTTATGTATTAAAATCAAAATTAAAGACTCCTTGCTAGTTTAATTTGGGCAATTCCCTTTCAAAGCCTCCTTTGACTCGTAACTGCAGAAACCATTTAAGAGTACAGACARAACTCTCTCTGGGCTGCAGACTTGTGTTAGTGCTTGACCATGRCTGATAACCTGGTGTCCTGCTCTCCCCTCCTTTCCATGGACACATCTCACAAGCACATGTCTATCTGCAGGAAGTGCAAAGGAAGACAAACATCCCAAMAGTTGTGGCTGTTTCCCAGAATTATTTGATGTATGCTGCACACTATTTTTAATGATAATCCTTCCCCTACCYGACATACATTTTAGCTTAAGCAACACAACCTCATGAACAGTTTTACWTAAGTGCTGGACTGGCTATTGGCTTGTATTTCATGCAGAAGAAAGTGCACAAGAAAATGGAAAGGCTGAAGGTGCAGTTAACAGACAGAGCACAAATCCCTTCCTCCCATCCAGGCTTAGTGCTGATCACTTGGACATGACTTATATAACCCMGTAAGCTGTCAGACTACACAGAACAGGGTCTCTGATCTGGGGTCCCCAGCAAGTGCTGGAGATCACCACATCACATCTCAGCTGTTACCAAAAACCAAGAGCAAGTGAGGGAAGGACTAAATGCTTTAGAAAACACCAAAGTAAAAAAAAAATTGGGACCTGAAGACTCTTCCAAATATATAAAAATGTGTTTAAGTCCATTGTCTCCCCACCCCCTCCACAGCCCTGCCCCAGTTTAGCCAAGATGAGTAACTGCTGGAGAAGGCACAAGTGACTAAAAGTGTGCATACAGGGAGGAGTRCAGTCCTACCAGCTTACTCCCATACCTAAACTCCTATAAACAACTTCTTCTCGGGAGTCAGAAATTATCAGAAAATAGCTGCTCAAAGAAAGGAAACTTAATGTCAACTTTCTGGTCAACAAATCCTGACCTATAACACACCCAAATCTGGTACAAAGCAACTGGAACACAGAACCAAGATATGCTACTGTTCAGACTCAAGGAACCCCAATAAAAACAACAAACAAACCCAAAAATGCACACACACACACCAACCTGAAAACAAAACAGAAAAAAAAAACCCCACACTTAAGGGTGAAAGTAAGACTAGCCTGAATAGCATTCATTAGGTATAGGAAAGAAATGAGAGGAAGACTGAGTTTAACACAGAATTATTCTGGCATTAATAACCTTCCCACTGTCATTAACTACGTGTGGAAATAGAGAATAAACCTGTATCATACACAAATATTTTAGGAGCTGAAATGATGTTTAGGAAGCACTTGGAAATAAGTTTTATCTCAATTTAGAAGTTAGTTTGAACCCTCCCACTAAGAACCTGTTTATGTTATGTCTAACGGGATCTGGAAAATTCCTGCATTTAAGGACATCTTCCTAAATTCCTTACTCCCRTTTTATTTCACAAAGCACTGATAAGAACTTTGTTTTACAAACTATGGCAGCTAAGTTTCAGAGCAGGACATTTCACTCTGGAGAAGGAACTCCTCTGTTAGGATCTGTACCTTCCACAGCTAAAACAAGCTGATCCAGGCTGTTCCCAAGAGTAAATGGACCACATTCTCAGCAGCTGATATCTAACACTAGAGCATAAGGGAGAGCTGCTGAGGGAGCTCCAGTGTTCCAGAGCTCAACAGAGAGAAACTTCCACCCTTAAAAAAACCCAAAYTAAACCTCTATCACTCTTGCCTGTCACTTGTGTATGTCATACCACATTTACTAAAAAGCTTACATGTATATTTTTAATGAGTGTGTTTAGCAAGRTTTTTGTCAGGGATTTTGGGTGGGTTATTTTTTTTTTTTTAGTGGAAGAAGGGCCTGTAATCATTTAAACTAAGGATCAACAGTAGCTGGCAAAAGCTAATACATGATGAAGAGTTACTAAACCTAGAAACTCGCAKAGTAAAATTAAACTATAATTAAATGAGACCATAAAGGACACATGAAGGAAACAACAAGAACCAAACCACCACAGTTCCATCAAAGTATCTCACTGGAGAGACAAAGGACCATTAGATCTGCACATGCAATGACAAACCTCTTTACAGTCTCAATCTATTTTCCTCACTTTATTTGCTTCAAATAGAGATACCGAATGCATTCACCCACACAACACTGATACACATTTTAGGGTTACAGTGATCGAAAAGGTCCACTAATAAAGGAAGTCACAGCTTCTTAAAATATTAAAAATTGGCATTTAAAAATGTTTGGCCCAGTAACAGTAAAAGCAAACTAGAAAAAAAGCTCTGTTCCTGATAAGAGGACTGTGCACTTATTCTTTCAGTAACCAAATCAAAGATTACTRAATTTTCTCTGGTAGCACACAACTTTACTTCAGCACCCAAAGTGCCACCTTCTCACAAGATTATACTGTAACACTCAATTTTAGCAGCTGAACAGTGGATCTCACCATAAGATTGAAGCCGTTAACCAATTTCCAAGAAAAATGTGATCATATGGCAATATGCTTTGTTGCATTGTAATAATTCCCCCTTATAAAGAAAAAAATTGTAATGGAAATTCAGAATACTCAGCTGAAGAGTYTGTACTATCCAGTAAGTCTAAGCACCTCCCTTTATATTATATACCCTGTTTTTAAAAGGTATTTTTCAGTTTGCCATTCTAATCCACAAATAACATCTGCAGCCCATTATCAGAACATGCCCTACGCACATAAGATACAATTTMATAAAAACATACAAATAGTTACCCTTAGAAAACAGAAAGGAGTCCAGGCAGGAAGATTCTGGATTTTGCATAAAGCGTGGTCATCCAAGAGTCTCAAACTATGCCAGGGGCCAAGCCATCCACCGAGGTAGGATGATGCGACTTAAGAGGAAAAACAAAACCAGAGTATTTAATTACTATGTGGTAGTTTTTATTTTTTTTTTTAATCAGAAGCATTAAGTACACAATTCAATATAACTTTTTAAATGATTTGTGCCAAATTCTCTTAAAACAGATAAATACGGGTAAAGTCCCCTAAAGTTCATGAATACACTGAAATAAGATGACCTATCAGTTTCACCTGCGAACACATAAAAYGTGGAAATTATCTTTCATTAATGAGTATTACAGAATACTGATTCTCTGTAGGCTTTTGGAAAAGGACTTGCACTCATACTTCTTGAGATTATTGAACACCAATTTACAATTGTAATCATCTCTAAAATCACATAATCAAGAGAGAGAATACCATGTACTGGTAAAGAACTACGTTTCAGAATTATCCCCTAAAGCTTATAGGCTGCAAAAGCAGTTAGATTTTTATTAAATTCCCTAACTTTCCTCCTTTTCACCATACACAAAACCAATACAAGATAGCTGACAAGGTGTCCTATGATTGTGTCTAATATTCAATGTGGCACCATTTCCATCAAAACCCTGATATAGCAAATCTGCAGTATGCCTAGAGACCACATRGATTAAATCATGGATTAGCTCAAGGCACTGGAAACTGAGAAATATGAAAAGGCTGAAGTGACAATAAACCATGGACTAGGCTAGGCGATGTGGAGRGAATCGCATGATCCATGCTCCTGAGGTCTCACCTCCTCCTGAAGAATCAAACAGCTATGAACTCCAAGAATTATAGCCCTTGCAGGGGCTAGCAGCCTGCAGCCAGGACTGGATGTGACATGCTTGTGCACATCACACACACAGACACCTGACCCAGCTACGGTAAATCTCACAAATGACCGCAGGAGCAAGGATCAGTACTATCCACATAAACACAATCCTTCATGATCAAAAATCAAGAGTTCATACATTATTTCACGAATCTTAAAATAATACATAGTGAAAGGCAGTCTTACATTCAGACAGACGGGCAAGTAAACGCCTACAGTTCATCTTATATAGCAACTCATAGCCTGATGCTACCAAAGGGCTCCTCCGCTTACAGAACCTCGGAACTGTAAAGATGCAGTAAAACAGCAGTAAAATGCCCATGACCTAAGCAAGCCAAATCTAACCCACAGCAACAAACACATTATCATCTCCCTCCTCCTCCTCCTTCTAGAAGGTGACTTCTTCCCAGTATAAGGAAATCCATGCTATCTGTAATTTAAAAAAAAAAACAAAACCACCAAAAAAAAACCCCAAAACCAAACCCAAAGAGACAAATGAAGATTCATAACCTATCTGCTCTGAAAAAGCAGGACTTCAAATGGTCACTATTGAGGTTCATTAAAGTGTATTTGCTAGGTCACAGGACGAAGTGTGCAGCCACTGCATTTCTATACACTGAATATAAAAGAATTTGTTTTAGAATTTTGGGATTCTCTAATACTAACACAACTTCACAAAGCTAACAAGCATGTTGAAAAGTTTTAAACTTTAGCAAAAAAAGACCCAAAACCCAACAAACCTAGATGCACTTTATAAAAAATAATACTGTTACTTGTATTTTAGAAGTCCAATATTTTGCTAGAAGGAGATGAAGTCAAGAAGTTTTCAAATTTAATTTCTTTATTATATACTTCAAAAGATTCCGGCAGAAGTAACTGTGGAGGCTGTGACTTTTGCCCTGTATGATTTCACACTGGGATGAGTGTCAGGAAGAAGTACAGCAGTAACGATATTATGTTTAGTTTTTACAATCTGTTAGGAAAAAAAGAACAACTATCGAAGACACAGAATAGTTGTAAATTACTATGAATTATATCTCCAGTGAATTAATTCTTGTTTCAYTGTCTTCCCAGTACCTGTTTAGGGGTCACTTTAGAATTTTGAGACTRAAGCATCATTTCAATGTTAATGGTATTTCCCACATTGGAGTTAGCTGCCTGAACTACAGAATTTTAGCCACATCAAAAATAAAGTGGAAAACTACCGCATAAGGCTCCTACCTATGCTTTTGAAAACGAGCATTCCAACGCAGTTTGAAAAATTCCAGGCCTAACTAGGGCAGAAATTATTAACTGCACCTATTTGCCAGCTTAATCTGCAATATGCATAAAAGAGACCAATCTTACGCTCCTCCAGTCCTATCCACCTGCTCGTGGCCCAGACTAACACACATTTACTGAGCCAAACAAAACCCGCTATTAAAAATGTAACTGCAGCAAATACATAAATCGCAACTACCAAGCGGCAGCGATCAGGAGTGCCAGGATGGAAACACTGGGATTCAGGGAAAGCCCTTTCCTGCCGCCCTCCCGCAGCCGCTCCCGCGGCTCCTGCCACCATTTGGCCTTTGTGGAAGGAGTGTCRGTGCTTCCTGCGGGCGTCCCGCCCCCCCGCTCCGCGGCCGTGGGCAGCGGTAACCAGAGACAACCTTGGGCTTCCCGAGCTGCGAAAAGTTACACTCCTCCCCCTTCCTCCGCCCGGCTCGCTCAGACCCCGGCCGGGCTAATTATAACTGCGCGAACAACTTCCACCGCCGGCCGCGCTCCGGGCGCTCCCCCCACACCCAGCCTGGCTCCCCGAGGCTGCCGTGCCCGCACCCCGGTCCCGCTGTGCCCCTCGCACCCGGCGCAGCTTCCCGGGGCCGCCGTCCCTCCGCTCCGCACCGCACCGCATCGCACCGCACCGCAGCAGCCCGGGGCCCGCCGTCCGCTCCACCTGTCCCCGCTGTCCCCTCCTCTCCCATCGCCCCGCCGGGTGCCCCCCCCACACCTCACCGGCAGGGCCCCCCCGCCCCATCGGGGCTCCTGCCGCCACCGCCTCGGCCTCCCGGCGTGCCCGCTCGTCTCCCCGCCGCCGCCGCTGTCCTCCCCCTGCCCCCGGCTCCCAGCCCCGCGCCTCCCTCCGCTTCCCGCCGCCTCCCGCCCGGCGCCCCACCTGGGAGCAGAGGAACCCCCGTTCCTTCGCAGCCGGTCGAGCTCCCTCCCTTCGGCGGGGCTGGGACTCGGGCCGGGAGGAGGCGGAGGCAGCGCCACCCCCGCCGGGCCCCGGCAGCCTCCGCTCCGCCCTTCCCTCCGCCCGCGGCTCCCGCGGCGGGGCGCGGGGGGGCGCTGCGTGCTCTGCGTGCRCCGCGCGCGCCAGCTGCCCGCCCTCCCATTGGTCCGCGGCCCTTTCAACCTGCCCGGCAACCATTTTCTGACTGGTCGGCGAGCCGGAGGGGCGGGGCTACGGCTGGACCCGCGGCATCGCCCAATGAGAGAGCCAGGAGAGCCGGGGTGGGCGGGGCCGCGCGCGGGCCTCGCCCAATGGGACACGGGCGCCGCCGAGTCCCGCGTCCCCCGGCGCGGCGCTCCGGGGGCGGCCCCGCCCGCGGCCGTGAGGGTGGCGGAGCGGCCGGGCCGGGCTCTGTGCTCCCCTGTTCCGCGCCGCTCCGGCCGCTGCTGCTGCCGCGCCTTGCGCTTCGGAACCCCCGTGGAGTCACTGGCCAGCCCGGTCCAAAGCCCAGAACCACCACTCCCCGTTTTTTTTTGTATGAACTCGCAGTCCGCCTGTGACCAAAACTGCCAAATTTCAGTAAAAGGCACGCCCAGGGCCTCCACACAGCAGCGCTCCTACAACGCCCGGTGCCAGGGCTGTTGGGAAACGAGGCGCACACGTCTCCCGACCAGCCCTATAGCTACGTCAAACATTGCACAATGCACCCATGAATATTCACTTGATTTTTTTTTTTTTCCTTCAAAGATGAGATGGTTTTATCCATGCTCAAACCTCGTATTTGCTTTTCACGGGCATTTGCGTAATCAAGTTACATGGGCACACGTGTTTGTACAAACCAGATTTCAAAATCTGACATAGAAGTATTTGTAAAGATTGATTTTGAGCCTTTGTCGAACCCTGTCATGGGTTGGTTTACCTGAGGCATCCCCAAAAAGCTGCTTGATCTAAACCCATCTCTGAAAGAGCCAATCTCTAGGACAATAAAACCAAAACTCGAAGATATTTGCACAGACGGGTTATTGCATTGAAGGTGAGCACATACCAAATTCACAGACATGTTCGATGTCCGTCTCATAAATACTGCAGAAACATTGGCAATTGTCTGGTGGAGAAACACTACAACTTCAGTGAAAGATCAGCTGCTTTTTGTGATTATTCAGCAAAGGAGAGCTGGTTTTTTTTTAAATCCTCAGTACTAACAGATTTTAACCCTTGTGTCTCCGAATGGGCACTTGTGAAGGGGTGGGAGCGTGCAAGGCTTGACCCAAATGCAGGGGTGAAGGGCAGAGARACAGAAAGCCAGAGCTGATGCCCGCGGGTCCATCGCTGAGGRCGAGGGGACCATCTCTCCAAGGCACCTCTCTCCTGCAGCGTGGTGCCCCCAATTCCTCGGCCACAGCTGTGCTCTGACCTCACTGCCGGGGGTCACAGAGCACAGAAGGGGAGCGAGTGTTGCTGCGAGAAGCACTAATGAATCYTTTTTGACACGCTGCCGGAGCTGTGTCACCTCCCCGAATGGCTGCGGGGTGACACCCCGACCCCCATGGTCCATCTGCTGCACCAAGTGTAAGCGCAGGATGAGGGTCAGCACTGAGGGGGAGGAGTGGACTAAAGATMTGCCCTGTACCCCTTCCCTTCCCACCACACACTGTGGTTAAGTGAAGGACTSACTCTGAGATGTTCAAAATTCTTCTGTCTGCTAAAGTCAGCCAGGGACAACCAGGGGAATTGCACCAGGACCGACCCCTGCCATATGCCAGGGATTATCTCCAAGGAATAGACACAGGATAGGCATGCAAAGGTAGCTGGAGCAGAAGGGACAATCTGGAATCATTATGTCTAATACAGAATATAAAGGGGTAGTTTAACTAGCAGTWCTACTAAAGCATCCTCGTAGCTTGAGCAAAGATTAGGCTTTGCAGATTGGAGCCCTGTTGGCCAAAAGTCTGTGACCTCTGGGCAGCCCTGCAGCACCAGTACAGACCTGGACAATTCCCTCTACAGCTCAAGGCAATACTTGAGCCTCTTGTGCAGCCATTGTCCCCCAGTCCAGCAGAGCTCCCAGAAAGACACCAACACCACTCACCCTGCTCTCCTCACTCTTTCTTGAGGGATTGACCCAAGGTGCTCAGCTATTCTGTAACCACTTTTTGTTCTGTGCAATAGAAAAGGGTGAACGTGCTTTCTGTAGCGAGTGTTTCTAGAAAGGTCAGTTGTTTAAAGCATGTGCTGATGAGAGCTACAGAAAAAAAAAAAGAACCTGGAGTTGTTTAAATACATGCATCAGAACTTTGGATTCATGGCTTAACAGGAAAAAAATAACAGAAATGACACAAAATATGGTGATTATTCACAAAGGGTTTGGTCACTTTTTTGCTTGTATTAACAGTGGGATTCACATAAAAGAACTGGAACTTCATTTAGCTTGGCAATATTCAATCTCATGTGCTAGAGGAGCCATACTTGTCTCACTCAGTGAAGAATTCAGAGGGCTMAGCTCACATACAAGGTCTTTCTTGGGAAAAACTTCCTTTAAAAAAGGCCCTTATATTCTCAAATGAGATAATGTTCTAGGAGGCTAATGCTCTCCCATTTTGACTTGAACTAAGTTTGAGGCAAACAGAGGATGGCATATGATTTTTTAATSATTTAAACATGGCCTTTCAGTATGACTATAGCCACTGCAACAGGCCAGGATGCCATTCTCAAGAGCAGTGAATTTGCTTTTGCAGCGAATTTCACATAAACCGTGAAAAAACCCAACCCCCAACCAATCAAGGTCTCTGTATAACTCATCTGAAAGGAACACTGGAGGTTTGCTACTTCTTCTTACCTTCATACTAGGCATCTATTCAAAAAACTGGTTCCAGGAACACAGAACTAATGAAGACTGCTCTCCTATGGATTTATGCCTGTGATTAATTACCTCTGTATCTAAGGTACGAGCTCTAATTGAAGCTGGTCTCATGCCTGGAAACTTTTGTCTCTCCCTTATCTGGATTACTGGATATCAGTACAGAATGCTGTTTTCTTCTGATATCTCCACACTTAGAAAAATTSTAAAAATGTAGTGACTCTGAGATCTGCCAGATTTGATTGAAATGAATTCGCTATTCTAAAGCCAAATGGCAGAATGACCCCATATGCCATATTTCCATAGGGAAGTGAGAAATGCAGAGCACACAGCACTAAAGCCCAGCTAGCTTTACCACCTCTTTTTGGTGGTAAAGCCTCTGTGAACAAACTAATCCTACACCTACTCAAGTTAATTTGAAAAAGCTGACACAAGATGGTTATTACAAAACCTAAAACCACCTTACTGAATATTTCTCAGAATAGGAAATTATCCAGGGTAGGAAATTATCCATTGTTCTCTTTTGTCAAAAGAATCACAATTTACAGGAGAAAAGCACTTTCCCCCTATACCTTTCAAAYAAAGCACAGTCCCTAAAGTAAACCATGGCACCAAGCTTCAATTTAAACAATTAACCACTCAACAATTGTGTCTTAAACTTCAGTCAGCTCAATGGACAAAATAATCCTAACACCCAGTACTTTAACATTTAGCCTCTCTCAGTAATGATTTCAAACACAGAAAAGTGAATTTGTTACAAATACTGGGTTTTGTTTTTCCTTTAAGTATTAAACTCTTGGTTTTTGAGTTTTTTATCAACATACCGTCTTCCCTTTAGAAGTCCTGTTTCRTAAGCTTGCACAATCCCAGGCTGAAGTTTAGTATTTTTCTTGATTTCCTCTCCAAATCTTGTCTGTAAACTAAAAAATATTATATACAGTATATTCCTTTGCTGCAGCATTTTACTATTGCAATACATACCTACACTTCCCACAAGCTCCTAGGGGACTTTCAAATACAGCATACATGGAGATAGATACAATTTCTGTTTAATTCTGTTTTTGCAAGAAGTCATGTAATCACCTGTATCTTCAATTACTGTTCCCTAAAAAGATGACAATTGAAATTACTGAAATGTTTCCCTGGCAATGCCAAGTGGCCTCTAGCATTAGGTTTTCCTGTTGACACGTTTGTCATGCATAAACATTTACCACTATAATTCGTCAGGTCATCAACCACTCATTTGGGGGGAATGTTGGTTAAGCAAATGAGTAATTGTTTCGGTTTTTTTTTTTAAGAAAGAGCTACCATACAAATTTATGAAAATCATGTCAGATAATGAAAATCTAGTATTTTTCACTAGCTTTTTTTTTTTTTTTAAGACACTACAAACATCTGAAGTCTCTTTCCTGACAAATCATTCAATGGGATTTCACCTCTGAGAAAATTCCTTGGAAAAAATTAGGAAAATTTATGTAAACTGTCAGCTTTGCAAGAGACACCAAAAGAAGTTCAGACAATCCTTGCAAAAGCTTGTATTTGATAAGCCAGATTGACAAAATATAYGTATGTTCCCAAGATGTTTATTTCATTTCTTTGAAACCTGGTGGCTTTGTACTCTYAGTATTAGTCAGTGTGAAATCACACACACTCATTTAAGAACTGGTGAGCAAACGAAATTTGTCATCATCCGTCTTGGGTTTTTTTGCACATGGGTTTATACATCCTAGGCCTGAGACACAAGCATACTTTCACTTTGAACAGAAGTAATTTTTATTTGTCTTGTCATAGATGTCAGAAAACAAATGGGTCAGATATTTTTCATTCTAGCTTTTGACAGTTTGTTTACTTATAAGACAGGACTGTAAAACAGTCACACATATCAATATTCTGAGACACAAAAAATCCGTAACAGTCTGCTAGTTACAATATTAAACTATACTCTCAGTCAATCTGCAATAATGCCTTTTAAAATGCTTACTAAAGCAACCCAGACGTTCCCAAGACTTCAAAAAACTAATGACGGGTTCAAAAACAGGTAATTCCTGGTCACTCTGAGGGCTCAGCTCACGTGTGAATCCCTAACCTGCTCCAGGCTGAAACCCTTCACTGCTGGCCTGCAAGAAAGCCTGGTCAGGAAAGGTGCTTTTCAAAGACCTGATTCTCTCTTCACTGACCAAATTTGTCCCTTAGGCAAATATAGCTATATTCATAGAGACAGGCAATGTGTTTTGCTAGACAAAGTCCCAGAGCTGTGGSAGAAAGAGGGGGTTAAAGGAAATCAACAAACACCACACAAACAGAGAAGCAATAAGCAGACAAACCCTTGTTACAGCAGCCTGGATCCTTGCACTTCTTGCCTTTGCTGAATGCCTGAGCTCCAGAAGCTCTGATTTTCAGGCAGGGGRAAAGGAGAAATAAAACCATAGGCACAGAGGTAGAGGGGGACAGATACTCAATGTTAGCTGTAAAGGAAGCAGATTGGATATTAGCTATGTGCTTGACAGTGCTTTCTTTTGCACAGGTCTAGAGCCCAGTGAAACTAGGCAGACCAACAGCCTTATTTCACACACGGCATTGATGCCATGCAGGCTCCACAAYTCTTCCCTAGGAGCAAAAACTGAAAAAAAGCCTGTTAGAAGTGGCAACAGAATCTGTCAGAAGCCTTTCCTAATTTAAGAGGCTAAGTTTTTTTTTAATTTTCCATTTACATGTAGAAATTTAAAAAATCCCCACCAGCAAGTATCATTTCTTACCATTTGTAGTAAAGGCTCACTAAGTCATTCAGAATTCACCATACAGGCATCCTTTAATTTCTGRTGTCTCTCAGTATTTTAGAGGATCACATAGAGGCGAAACATACTGTCTTAACCTTTAAGTGATGCATATTTAACCAATCTCTCTTTAGAGTAACAAAAAATAGCAATGGCAGTTAGAAAAGAAAGCTTTTTTAATTATTCCTTTCTTCTTATTTTTCTTTTTTCACCAGAAGTGAAGCATGAAAAAATGAATTAGACTGAAACATGTTATTAAAGCTATAAGGAGACAAGCTGCTGTTACAAACTGGTCTCTGCAAAGTCAAACCAGTTGCAAGCACACATGGTGACTGCAAGTTTCAGCAATACCAAGTCTTACATGTGCTGAGCCAMGGTACTAGGCTTGTAAAAGCATTAAGATTTGGTGTAAGTTTTAAAAATGTAATAAAACAGGATATATATACATATATATATATATGTATTTCTGTTTAAATGCTTAACTCGATAAATGCATGCTTACCTAACACCTTTCCTGTTAAGCCAAGTAGTGTCTATAAATTGTTTTAAAATAGACACAGCTTCCTCAGTAAGGGAACGCACCCTGCTAGATGCTTTGTACTAAAGTAATAAAGTATAGAGTTAAAAATACACACATGTGCATTTGGCATACACAGTTTAACAGTTATGAACAATTTATACTGATTCCTATCTGTAACATGCAGACTGATGCACACTAAGGAGGTGGAGAAGACCACTTTTAAAATATCTTGACATGAAATTGCTCATTTAATGAAAATGGAAGGTGTGGGGGCAGARGAGAATACCCACAATTGCTCAAACCTGTGGGTTTTAAACTACATTTCAGAGCAGTTTTGGGTAAGTTTCCCAGAGGAACAGAAGATATTAGTCATTCAAATCAATGCTGATGTTGCCTTTACAAAACTCTGAAAACATTTCTGTTTTACTCTAAGGCATCTGCTGTCCAATTCAGTGGTGCACACACAGAAAAACATCAAGAAAAATTACCTGTGGATTTATTTTTGAAGGAATCTCTGATACTCCATCAAACACTACCGAATAAGCCAGAGTTATTTCACTGTGAGATGTGAGAGTTTRTATTTATATTTGGATCCTCCTGAATCCGCATTTATTACTGCAWTACCTTTGAGTGATTTTTCAATTACAACATGTAGTATTGGCTTCTCTTTGGTCTGGATATATCCCAYGGACTGAACTTTCAAGTGCCTATGTGCTATTTTGTCCTTTAACATGAAGTTATTAATGAAGGTTTAAGTGAGAAAGCAAAGTTTAACTACTACAGCAACTACATATTATCTTATGCCAAGTTTAATACAAAGAAACATTTTCCAATTCACTTTAGATTCATACCAAATGTGTGGCTCTGTAAGATGGAGTCAATACGCATTCAACTGTGGAGTCTGAAAAATTTCACAAAATTATGTAATTTTTTCCTCAAAGCAAATGATTCTAAAGCACCTAAGCTCAGTGGTCTCCTTATTCTTGAGGTGATACTCAAATGTTTTCAACACCCTCTTGGAACCCCCACCTTCCATTCCCTTTCCAGGTTTGAGAATCTGCATCATAGGTAAGGTCACTCAAGGGAAGGCAGACTCTGTCAGACACAGCAAGGTTCTCTTTTCATGTTCAGCATGCTTGGTTCAGATCCACAGAAAACAATCAATTGACAGATGTTGACCCTGGCTCAGCCACGGCCAACACATTCCAGAAACCAATTCAAATTTTCCCCCTTCCCTACTCCCTGCCAACTTGGGGCTTTTTTCCCAATAGCATTTCTGATGGTAAACATTTGTTATTTTATAAAATAATATGCTATACTTGAATTATCCCTTTCCCCMAAAAAGGTTTCATAGGAAGAAGCTTAGTTACATACACTCTAAACCGCATGTGCTGGAAGAAAAAGACCACCATCCCATGTTGTATTATTTTTTGTTATTAAAAAAAAGCCAAGAGGAAACTCTTGGTAAGAGTGGAGCATATTAATTATGACAAGACATCATGAAACACCAACCAATGAGATTTAAAGGCCGCTATAATAACACTTTTGTAGTAATTAGTGCAAGATAGTTATCCCATATAAACAAATATTTGATGGTAGACTTCAATGATAAACAATTCAGTTGATGACATTTACATATAAATACACATAAATAAAAACCTACATCACGTAGGTTTGTAGTTAACAAAAGGTATGGTCTGAAATGAATTAAATGTAATTTTATCTAGTTGGATCAAAGCTCTTCCTATAATGATACTCAAGTATGTGGGGCATGAAAAGCATAAATGTACAATTCTCAATTTAGTAAAGTACTACTCTATAAAACAGAATCATGAAAACAGCTCTTACATTTTAATGCAAAGTATAAAATTGTATATTTACATTTACATACACTTTACTGAACTACATTGARTAGCTCATGGTAAAAAAACATCCCTTTTTGAAAATCTTGCAAAAAATACATCAACTGCAAATATGATCAAAAGTTATGAAGTTAGCAGCTGACACAGCATCTGTAGTAAAAAATATATTTTAGGAAAATACCTGGAAAAATCTAAACACCAATAAACACTTTAAAACTATTTTTGAAGTAAAAATTGTAGCAAAACCCAGAGGAAGCTAGCAAGGATAACAAGAACTATTGCATACTGCTCTTTAAGAGCCATGTAGCGACTTAAAACAGAAGCAGCAGATATGGTAGGAGTTTTGTGGTGTAACAAAGTGGAAACCGGAGAAAAATAGGAAACCAGTTATCCAACTTCTCTCTCTGTTTATTACCATTTTTATGGGAGAAGTGTGAGGTGAGAGAATCCCTCTCACTGAGGATATCCATCAAAGGCTAAAACAAATTGGTATAAGGAACCCAATTTCAACAGCCTTGGACCCTAAACACGGGAACATTTACCGTATGTACTTACAGTTCAGTGGACAATAAATCAGATTATTACACTACAAGTTGCAGGTTAACTTTAAGAGTTAACACTATTTTGCAATATGAAGTGCTTCTTAATATATTTATCTATATAACATATAGATATTTGTAAAATACTCGTGCAGATTTGATAGAACAAACTGGAAATTCCTTTCTCAAGTMTTTTCTTGCCATTAGCAGATCTTTACCTCCTACACAAGGAGGTTCAGGATTCAACAAGGATTTCCACAATATGATCGAGGTCATTCAGATCAGATTTACAATTGGAGTTAGAAGCTGTATTTGTTGGAGAAGAAAATGTTTCAAGACTATCACAATGTCCCATTTTTGTGTTGGTCATCATGCCTGTTAACATAGTATCAAGRTCATAGTAAGAATTGTCAACTTCTGAAAACAGATCTTCAACAGAATTAGGACTTTTATTCTCCAGTGTCTCAAATATTTGATCTAAAGATTTTTGAAAGTTTCCTTTATTTTCTTGTGGATTCTCCATTTCTTCCCACATATTGCTCTGCAGGTTTCTTGGCGCTTGCACTGAAGAGGCTGTTGACATAGTTTCTGAACCATCTTGTGCCTGGTCACTCTCAAARTCTTTATTGAAAGTACCATAGGCTGGAACATGCTTTCCCTCAGCTTGATCCCTAGATGAACGGCAGAGGATATCTGTTGAAACAAGACGATCCAGGGATGCCTGCCCTGTATTCTGTGCATTTATCATCTGCCAAGTCCCATCTTGAGTCATTTCCTCTTGGATCTGCCGTACCGTGTTGGCTATAAGTACCGAACGACAAAGGTTGGGTTCAACCAGCATGTGACACAGCTGCAGTTTAACCAAGGACATATCTAAAAGCGACTGCCGCTGGAGATTATAGGAAGGAACAGCCTTAATGCCAGCCAGAGTCCCTTCAATATCTTCTTCACCATCAAAACATTTTCTCTTTAATCCTCGCACAAACATTGTGTCCTGTTAACAAAAAATCCAAATAAACGAAAATCATGTACAACATAAACATCTCAAGAGGGAGGGGGGGAAAAAAAGGAGACTAAAAAACAGAACAGCAAACTTTAATCTTTTATTAAAAAGCAAATTCTTTTAAGATAGAAACATCAGAATTGTCATACCATGTTCTAGAATGGCCAGTGTGGTACAACAGGGGTCAGGAACATATGGACCGGGTCCCAAAGGCGACATTCGGGAACCAGGGGTGAGCAGGTCCACAAGGCATGGCATCGGAGAGAGGCASGGGCTCCCAGCTCCTGGCTCCCATTAAATTCCACACTTGATGGAAAGCCAGGAGCCATTGCTTCGCACAGAAGCAAACATCTCAGCGGCTGTATTTCACCTATTGGAGAGGCAGTTTCTCCTCGCTCCTCCCGAGTTTCTACAGGCATGCTTAACTTCTAATTTTGGAAATAAAAATATAACCTGGCACACCATCTTTAAAAGATTTGACCCCTCCAGAACATTAAAGTGCCAAACAGAGTAAAATTAAGAAAAAAAATCATGGGCAGCATATGTGAAAAGATAGCTTATTTTGGCTACGAAGAGAATGATATCTAGATTTGTTCCATGTGACTTGAAATAGTCAGTGGAGGTGCCCAAAGCAGTCCTTCTGGTTCCCTTCCTTGCGTAAGTGAACTGCGTAATTCCAATAAGAACTGGGCAAGTCCAGTAAGGATAGTCACAGTCATCCTCTGTATGGACCTTCTGTACTCCTTTCCCAGTTGACTGTAAGATAGCAAAATTCCCATATTCCTATTAGGTTCACCAGCTAAAAGTACATGGATTGCATGAACKTTTTCAGTATTCACACCTAAAATCCCTTGCTGAATTTTCCAAGGCATGCCTCTCAAGTACCACCCTCCGCTCATCTTCTGAATTGCACTAATTTTGACAACAGTGCACTGGCAAATATTTCAGATGATCCCTTGAAATACAAAGAAACTTTATTTTTAAAATGCAGTATATATCACTTCTTTTAGTCTAATAAAAAATGGGCTGCAAATAAAAATTAGTACCTGATCTTCACATTWATTCTTCTTATTTCCCTTCTAAGTATTCCGTCCTTAGAATTCCTGTTTGCCCATTACTTGGGTATTTTTTTTCAGAGTAGTGACTCAAACAAAACAGTTTTTCAACTAAAAGCTGATAAAACCAAAATACTATTGCAGTGTCTTTCTATATCATTTCCCATTTTCCTCGATAAGCCCTAAACTCTGACTTGCTTTTCTGATTGCTATGGTACATTCCACATATTTTCAATGAATTCTCTCTCAGCTTTTTCAGAGTCACTAAAAATCCATCAAAGGGCAACAACAGTGTTCCTTTCAAAATATATTACATGCTTATCTACTGTGAAAACCTGGGGATAGCACACTAGCTAGTTAAACATTTGGTCTGACTCTGTGTAACACTTGTTACATTGCTGTATATATCCATGAAATAACCTTTTTTGGGATTTGCCGACTCTTAAAAGATTTCTTTCCACTGAAGGCACAAAGCTCTTTAGAAATAATAATGTGCAAAGACTACAATATAGAATTAATTTGGTCCTATGGTCATTTTTTATAACTTCTTAAAAGYGATCCATGGATTAGCAATCTATTAAGTATTTTGGATGTTTCTTTTAAAATTTTATCCTGAAACATAACATATTTGCATTATTCCTACTACATACAAAGCACATTGTTGYTTGATAGTTCCTTTTCCAAATTTTTAGATATCCCTGCAAACTTTGTATAGCCTATTTAATTTTCCCTACACTGGTATTTACAGTATTTCTGAACAGACCCTCCTCGCCATGTGAAATGACCTCTAGAAACATCTTTTGGGACTGTGTACAAACCATGGATGATTACATCATCAAATATTAAACACTGTGCAGAGTTTGAAGCTTCTTTTATTTCAACTTACATTCTGGTGAAGAGTAATTAAAACTTCAATTGAATCTTAACCTGGTTTTCATACATCTATAATTTGGCATTTAAATGCCTTCTAAGGCACATCAATAGAACACAAGAGAAAACCTGAAAACCTCAGTACATCACACACATTTGGGCTCCTAGAAGCAGAGGAAGAACACTTATGGATTCTTAAAGGTAAACCTTTCACATCATTCACTGRATTTTTTTTCTAAAACATGCTTTCAACTAGTATCTTACACCTTAAAGCCAGTTCTTTGTCATCCTGTTCTCATGACTGTACAAAGTACCAGGTTACAGATCCATTTAAGAAGCAAAGAGTGACTTACCAGTAATTGTGTTTGATGCAGTCCTTCCTCTTCTCCCATGCTACTGAGCAAGAGTCCATACAGTAAAAGTGACAGCACCACCTACCAAGCACAGGGAAGCAGGATGTCAGGTAAAGACAGGAGATTCAGAACAAAATAGTTTTGCTTCAGTATCTCTATCTTGCATGATGTGAGCATCATTGCCACAAACATGAATAGTACTGTTAAACCCAATGCACAACTAAAGCACAAATGTGATTTGCCCAACAATACATCCAAAAACTGCAGCAGAAGGAAAATGCCAGTTTAATTCCAAGTCCTAGGCTATTGCCCTGACCTTTGGACCAGCCTCTCCCTTATGCCTACACCTTTGCCATTTAAAGAACAAATAGAAATTTTTCATATGAGYATCAAAGATTAAGTGTGCACAAACAAAAGTTAATGAAAGAAGCTCTCCCTTACTTCTATTACAAAACTACTACTTTACACATTTGCTGTACAAMCCATATCTCTGTAGCATCTAGAGAAAATGAGCTGGCACAAACACAAAACTGAAACATAGCAAAACATGAGAGAATTTTCCTTTACCAGTACAAAATCTTTGTGACTAAGATTTACTCTGTAAGATGACAATAACAAAAGTAACAACAGCAATTAMACTGCTTTAACTAAAATAGCTGAATTTTTAAAACACATTTAAAGCAAAGTAAGATTTGATATATCAAATACAACTTTCCATCACATGCAACAATTCCCTTAATTTATGAAACTAAAAAGAATGCTGTTTTAACAGGCTACAGAAACCTTTATAACAAACTATGAAAACAATTCAGMTACTTTTCTAGACATGTCTGTGCAGTACAAGACAGTTCCTTGTCTGCAACTGAAGTGCATATCTAGAAAAGAAATGCACTATGAGGATGCACATGAGCATCTATTCTTGTTTTCTGTTTTGTGTCGTAATAAAMCATTTTTCAAGATTGTCTGCTCTCAAATGTGGGGTGAAGACAGCTGGCAAAGGACTTCATGTGGAAGTGCAGAAAACGTGTTTTTCCTCAAGAAGCTGCATACTTGTTATAATATCACAATGGGAAAAAAAAAACCACCTTTAGCATTCTCAAGCCAAAATCTTTTTACTTGATYGCAGATATGCAGACTAAATGCTGTTATGTCATGGAAACTGTTCTTCAACCAACTCATAGTCTCATTTTATTTTATGAATTGCACTCACAGCAACTTTAAAAACAGTATCTTAAGGCATCTGAACTACAATTTTAGTCAGACACCATATCAAGTCAATGAACTAGTTCCTCTTTTGAAGAAACACTTCATGACACTATGAAAGTCAGAAGTTTTTGCTCCCCAGGTATACTTTCAAAACATTCTGTAAATGAAACGTGATCTCTTTGAGAGCCTGTGTTTGGTAATTATTTGAATCCCAGAATTTCTACTTTWTTGGAGGCCAAGTGACAAGTCCATAAACTTAACTTAAAAAAACCCAATCAAGGAAAAACCTACCAAACATATCCCCACTCCCCATAACTACAGGTAAATATGGTGCAGTCATGCGAAAAACAAATAGAAATCTTTTCTGATGCTATTTGGTATATCTGACAATTTTAGAGGAAGAGGCTGTGGCCATTTGCCTCCCAAAACAGGGGACAATACAGGAGTTGACCGTTGCTGTGAGCTCTTGGTAAAAGAGCCATTATCACATCCACAAACTAAATGTCAGGGGATGCTGGCAGACCAGTCCAGTCTGTGATCTATTTTAAATACTACAGAAGGCAAGTTTTCCCATGCAATATAATAACATGTAAAACCTGCTGCATGTGATTCCAGGCTCTTCCCTAGGGCAATAACCAAACCACGTGGACCTCTGTTAGTATAAACTTGAAGAATACATCCATCACAGCAGCCATTTCTTCGGGTTCTATGAACTGGAATACATGTGCACCTCAGAAACCAAGTTCTCAGAAAAAGCATATTTACTTCATAGCCATTATCAAACTCAATTAAAACCTTGCAAACAAATGACCTCCCGCAGACTTCTCTGCACTATCACCAACAAGCACTCATCTCAAGAGAATGCTAAATTTGAAACGCAATTAATTAGTATCTAAGTACCTTCTCCTAGTGATTTACATATTAACATACTCAACAATGCATTAGCCATTGTGTAAAACCTTTTGGTACATCAGAGCACGACTGCTGCTGCTTCAGAGCCAAGRTGCTCAACAACCCCCAGGTAATTTCAAGCCATATCTTTCTCAGTCCAAGCGGCAGTACCTGGACTAACTACATCATYTCCTTTCTTCCACTGCTGTTCCAGTGTCATGAGCCCAAACTTTGTGTGTTCAACTAAACTGCTACTTGAAACAGCCATAAAAAAAAAGAAAATGCTGTCAAGGAGACAACAGCGAGCTGCAACCTAATGCACTAGGACATAGATTTTTTATGCTTTTGGTGKKTTTTTKTKKKKTTTTTTTTTTAATAGAAACACAGTATTATGTAGTTCATTACAAGTTTTGCTTTTAGGATAGACGAATTCCCAGTCTACTTTACAAATAAGGTTCTTGAAATTTAATCCAATTCTTATTAGAGCATCAACTTCACACATTCCAGATTCACACTCAATTCAGACTCATACAGTGATGCGCTGCCAAAGATATAGTTAAGTACTTAAGGAAAAAAAGCTGCTTCCCATTATTTGGGGTAACAGAGAAGATTGGGAATTAAAGCAGTGCTTATCTTTAGGAGAAAGCAGACAAGACCTACCTAGGCCAGTGCTGGAGGTTCAATGAAGCACAGTGCTACTTTTTGTACAGCCGTAATTACAATGATGATGGTTAGCAGGGGAAGGCAAGAAGGAGCCGTATCTCCACTCTACCACTCTAATCCTCTCCACTCCAACACTGGCTTTTCTAAGAACCGTGGGAAGAAACCAAAGCTCTGTGTAACAGAGTAGAAAAAGACGGAAAGAGAGCTACTCCTCTTTAGCCAACGCACGTGTGCGCATATGGTGGTGTCGAGGTACAAGGTGGGATTCAGACTCAGCAGAGGGCTGGTGGGGCTAGAAACATCGCTGTTCTGACCGGAACAAAGGCCCCTATAAAGCACCAGGGTCTGCCCACCCCCGGGGTGTAGGGKCTGGCAGGCACCTCTCCGGGACTCGAGGGATTTGCGAAGGGGTTCCAAAAGCCGGAGAAGGGCTGGCTGGGCAGCTGGGACAGAACTCGTGGAAACGCAGACGGGGGCCGGGAACGCTGAGCGGGGGGAGCCCGCAGAGCCGGGGGGAGAGGCGGGACCGGGGCGGGGAGCGAGGGGGAGCTCCCCGGCGGTGGGAGGGCAGCGAGGTGCCCGGGGGAGGCGCGGACAATGACTGAGCACGGCTGCGGAAGGGTCCGAGAGGAGAAGGAGTGCGGAACGGGCCCCCTGTCCCGCCCGCCCCGGTGCGCTCTGAGTTCCCGGCGGTTACTCATCGCCACACGCTCCCGCCGCCATTTTGAATCGACTCCGTCCCCTCCACGGGTACCGCCGGCACGGGCTTCCCGCGGTCCGACCCAGCCCAACCCGACCCAGCCCACTGCACTCACCGTCTTGCCGCTGCTGTCGCCGCCGGTCGCCCGCACAGGAACGCCCGCTCCGCTCCCGCCTCACCTCCCGCTCCGCGCCTGAGGGACGGGCGGGGCCAAGCGGCCCCACCTCCCCCCGCCCGCCATTTTATTGTCAAACCCCACAAAGGGACCGGCGTCCACCGGGGGCGGGCCTTCTCCGGAGACCACGCCCACCAGTGAGCGGCGATCGCTCCTATTGGCTGTTTCCAAGCCTTGCAGGCGTCGCTCGCCACTGCGATTGGCCATGACTTCAGCCTGTCCCGCCCCCGGGCTCCGCCCCCGGAGGCTGTGGGGTTGCCAAGGCGGCCGGGCCCTTCCCCTCGGCTGTGAGAGGCTGAGGGAGGCGGGGGCGGGGACGGGGCGGGGCCGCCCCGATTTTAAACGGCAGCCAAGGCCCTGCGGCGCATCTGGGCTCCCGGCCACGAGCTCGGGCGGGAGCATGTTTAGACCTGGCCGCGCTGCAGCCCGCGGGCAGCTGCAGYGWGGGRGGGGAGRGGAGAGGAGAGGGAGTGTTGGCCKCCCCGGCTCGGGTGCTCCATGCCGTCAGGCGCCACTTCCCTCAGGGCTAGGGAGCCCCGGCGCTCYGCTGCCCGGGAGTGGCAGGAGTCCTCAGGACTCCATTAGCAAGGCCTGTGGCATTTCCTGTTCGAGCCCGGCCGCATGCTTGGGGCGGAGGTGATGGCKCACACCCCGCAGGGCGCCGCTGTCTGAACACGGGTCAGTAGTGAGTGCCCGGGTGGGCAAGTAGGCCAGTGGCATCCTGGCCTCTTACCGAAAATAGTGTGGCCAGCAGRACCAGAGGAGTGATMGTCCCCCTATACTGGGCACTGGTGAGGCCCCACCTYGAAATGCTGCGTCAGTTCTGGGCCCCTCAATTCAATTTCTTCCCAAAGAAAAAGTGATCAGGCACGAGAATGGGCTTGTAGTCACCGTCACTGAAGGTTGAAGAAAAAGGCCTGTTTGGTCACAATTTGGACTCGATGATCTCAGAAGACTTTTCCAACCTAATTGATTCTGTCCTAAAGCTGCTGCCGCCCCGCTGAGCCAAGCCCCCTCYCCAAGCCTCGCCGCTGTGACCCCAGCCCGATGCAGCCGCACATCTGCAACCACTTAGGCCGCCCCAGCGTCTGWCGGGCGCTCTCCCGGCCGTGCAGCTACGTGCCGGCTGCTCCGAGCAGCCCGAGGGAAGGAGGGGCGGCTGCTCCGGGCTCCCCGAGAGCCGCAGAGGCGGCAGCTGCTGCCTCCCGCCACCGGGGCGCGGCGGGAACGGGAGGGGAAGGAAATGGAGAAAGGGCGGGATAGGCAGCTGGAGCTGGAAGATCGGCGAGGCTTGCGGCTGAAGTTATGTTGGAAAAGCTGGGAAACGGCAGAGCTGTGGCGTCATACAGTAAAGCAGGAGGAAATAATACTTCCATAGCAAAGCAAGATGTGATTTTGGGACAAGACAGGTTGCCAAGCGCAGTATTTCTCCTCGTTTACAGTTTTTTTTTTACTAGTCTCATGGCATCGTGATCAAAACCACAAGTTAAAGCTGTGCAAGAATGATGCTACAGAGATGTTTTTCTCTATTCAGCTTAACATTAAAAGTCCAGAATTGGAAGCGATYCTCAAGAATTATGGAGGTCTCAACTCCTGGCCCTGCAGAGGACGACTCCCAAGAATCAGCCGTGTGTTTGAAAGCATTATCCAAATGCTCCTTGAACTCTGTCGATCCTGGTGCTGATCTTTTTGTTATTGTTTTTTTCTTTTATATATACATATATATATATTTAAACTCCAGTCTTTATTAAGTATTTCACTTGAGAAATAAAGGCATAATATCAAACTACAATATTTGGGATCTGATAAATAACTTGGGACTCAACTGCAACTAGTCTTAGCATTAGGCTTTCACTTGACAGGCTTTTCTTTAAAAGTCCCTGTGTGGCAAGCATTTAGGTGTTCTCTACTATATTACGCACACTTGCAGCAAGGCAGCCAAGTTTTCACGTGCAATATATATCCCGTTAATATATATTTGTCACATTTTAGTAACATTTTGGAAAGCTGCTGGAACATGTTAAGTCCTTGGAAAGCAGCAGTGAAATGAACATCTTGTGCAAATCTGTTACTGCAATGTCAGTAGGAGTCAGGAGTCACAAAAGAAAGGTACCAAAACTTCCTTTCTCATTCCATTTGAACTAGGTGCCCTCAGCAGACAAACATTTGATGTGGTGTTGTCTCAGCTTCTGTAACTCCAGTTCACTCAGTCATTTCTTGTCACTTCATCTGGCTCTTCTATGTAGAAGTAGCCCCAAGCTCATTTGCAATTTCATAGTTGCCTTCAGTTTGCTCAGAAATCTCAGCTCACTCATGAAGCTGTGCATTCAGGTAGTTCATGCCTGAAGCCTCTACACAGGCTGGTCATCCCCTGACTGGGTGGCTTGTATGTTCCCTTTTGTTCTGGCTGCTGAAGCATCCTTTACATCAGAGAGCATCGCTGGTCAAACCAGGACCACACCACATCTTTCATTATTATGAATCACATTATTGACCATGGTTACTTTGGGAGTATCATGATCTTCATCTAAGAAGTTATTTAAAAAGTATTCCCTCCTTGCAGCAGTGCATGCCATTGTTCAACAGAGTGCATGCGCTACCTGGATATATTTCCACACCAGCACCATTGGCATCACATAGATCTGAGTTTTTCATTAACAGCTTGGGTGATGTCTGTGCTGTTATGCCTCTGCTTTCACACTGAAACAAACAATTCTCCAGGGTGGTTTCCCCACAACGGACCTGTCGTGGTTTTAAAACCTGATTTTTCTCAATCCGAGTCACGGCACCACAATTAGCTACAAGCCCAGAATCACAACATGCTCTCAGCTCTCAGAATGCAACCTCAGTCAAGGCTCAACACATTACACAAAGTAATTCAAGTCATCCTTCTCCTTCCCCCTGTCCCAGTCCTCCAGGTGCACTGACATGCTCTACAGTTTGTGCTGTCTGGTGGAATTGTCCTGATTCATTATGTGTGACCCATAGCTCCCACAGTGCTATCTGGTGTCCCTTAAGCTTCAAGGGTTCCTGCTGTCCCATGACTCACATGGAAAAGACTCTGAGTTGTACAACTGCTTTTCAGAGCTGAGTACTCCATACCAACCACCCCAACACGAACCTCAAACACATTTGTATGCCACACATACAAATGCCTCCACATGGTACAAGGACCTTGTCCAGGCACTCAGCTGTGAATTGTGTCACCTTAGAAGCTCTGCAGTATTAAGGAAGATTTCTGATGCAGGGTAGATTTATTTCAGCTCAAGCTGGTGCCTCTGGAGAGGGATCCCAAACAAAAAAATCCCTGGGCCTTTATATCCTCATAGTCTGTGCACTTGATCTTCATGCGTTCTTCCTGTGCCCCGTAGTGTTCTACGGTCAGGAGCCTTCTAACACCTCATGGGATTCTTTCTCATGTCCACATGGACAGGCCATTAATTTTCTCCTTTCTCCCATCCTGGGGCCCTTCAGGATCTCAACCCTTATTCTGAAGATACCCAGTCTTTGTTTACTCCCCTGCGTAGCTGTCCAGGCAAACAAACAGTTCATTTAAAGTTCCCTTACATCAAGCTTTGAGCAGGACCCCACTCATGCTAAACTGTAAGCAAGTTACAATTAAACTTAACCCTAKACAATTAATTTCTAATATTCTATAAGTAAATGTAATGTAATCCCTAACATGCAGTCAGCCAAGATGTAATCCTGGTAATCTCCAAATTGCTCATGAAACAAAAGATGATTGGTGTGAAAAGTATCCGGAAAACGTACATTTTCATTGGGCACAGTCCTAAAGCAGTGCCTGGTTTATCACAACTGCCAGAGTCACTCCAGGAGCCGTCACTCCAGACACTCAGCATCTTCCTGGAGCAGATCTGGGCTCGGCCACCTCTGCTGTTCCCGCAGGCCTCCATCTGTCACAGCTGGAGGCAGCAGAGCCYGACCGTCAGCCCATGCCCGGGCCCCTCCCCGGCGGCAGCCCCAGCTCGGCAGGAATTCAAATAGGTATTCCCACAACAAATCCTGCAAGAACCCTTGAGCCACCGTGGAGGCCCCTTTCCAGACACTGTGGAGGCTGTTCCCTCGAGGATCACAGCTCGAAAGGTTCATTTGCATTGCTCTTTCTAATGATAGCATCATCTATATAGATCTTTGAAAATTTGAGAAACTAGTAATGTCTCATCATTTGATTGTTTTCAGCAGAAAACAACTCTCACACCTCACATATGTGAGAAACAAAATTTGAAAAGTCAAAATGCAAAAATCTGGACAGATCTTTGCAAAACAATACAGCCCAAAGTATTTACAAGAGAGCTGGAAAGAGATGTCTACAAAACAACCTTACAAGGAAATGGAAAAGAAGAAAGTAACTGCATACAAAAATAAGGAAAAATGTGAGGGAATTACRGGACAGGATCGTCAGGAGAGCTTTAAATCAAAAGATAATTCAGAGTATGTACCCAAAGCTCCTAGACAATGGGGAAGCATTGCCCCTAGTAAGACACCGCAGAGCAGCTTGCCTGCTGAGGASATGAATAACATGGGTGACACGGAGAATGGTGCAAATCAGCTCAGCAGATCTCTCCTGGRAAGCCGGGTCCCCACTGACACGCAGCAAGATCTTCAGAACGAGTGGAAGTTCTGAAGGGATTTAAAAGCACTGGCAGCCTGTATAAAATAAGAATGGGATGCTCTCTTTGTCTGAAACAGGAGRCACCGAGCTGGTTTAACAGGAGAAGGCATTGTCTCGACCTTTCCAAGCAGGCTCGAGGTGCAGATCCATCCTTAGCACATGGAGGGAGTTATCTGAGCTGCAGCCCCAGCTCCAGAGCAGGAGGGCCGGGTCGAGGGGAGCTCCTGCCCTGAGCCCTTTCCCTTGGTTAGGAAGCAGCTGCCTTGGGCTCGGTGGAAGGACGGGCTTGGCTTCAGTCCCTGCGAGCTGCGTGTGCTCCAGCCGTGCCGCCTCCCCGRGCGGAGCACCCGCGGCTGCGGGAGCTGTGCTCCGGCTCTCGCCATCGCACCGCCCGCCTGCTCTGCCGGGAGCCCGGCCTGCCTCTTCCTCCGGCGGTGGCTGGTA